TCTATATTTAAATTGCATTGCAAGCTTATTGTGCAAATAAACCTTTTTCATAGCATTTTTATTTGTTAATTAACATTTCTTGGTTCAAGCTATTTTTCAGGAATATTTTTAACAAATGCTTTCTAAAAGTGGTGGGTAGCCTACATGTCCCCAGTGTAAATGACCCTCCCTCCCTACAGGCTGAGCTACTCCATGTTTACCGCTTCACCTCCACTCTCTTCCTGCTCTCTCTCTCCCTCAGCCCTGTCACTTTGTCACTCACTAACGCGGTTATTTTCGCGCATTTGGCGGCAGCCGTAGCGCAAGAAACAGTGAGCAGAGGGGGTGGGGGCTAGTAAGAGATGTGATTGGACCGGCCCAGTGTCAGTATAGAAAATCGTAGGCTCATTTTTAAAAACAGTTATATAAATACATAATTTACGTCACACTGGCCCCAAAGGTGCGTCCAGCCCTGGCCCCAGACCATGACCCTCCCACCACCATGCTTGACTGTAGGCAAGACACACTTGTCTTTGTACTCCTCACCTGGTTGCCGCCACACATGCTTGAAACCATCTGAACCAAATAAATTTACCTTGGTCTCATCAGACCACAGCACATGGTTCCAGTAATCCATGTCCTTAGTCTGCTTGTCTTCAGCAAACTGTTTGCGGGCTTTCTTGTGCATCATCTTTAGAAGAGGCTTACTGCTTAGTGATTGACAACTTCATTAAATTTGCCCAAGCCTACCCAACCCGTAACAAATCAGATAAAATTTTGAATGACTTTGAAATTTCAAACTTTCAAATTTGGCTTCCCTGCTAAAATACATCACGATCAAGGAAAATAATTTGAGAACCAGTAATTCAGACAGTTGCAAAAGTACACTGGTGTGGCCAACTCCAAAACACAAGGGAACCCAGCCAAAGATTTAATCGCACCTTGTTATCGATGCTGCGGACCTTGGATGAGGAGTAAAAGGGAAATTGGAGTGACTATGTGAATAAAGTGTACATGCTTACAACTGCACCACCAGCAAGGCAACAGAATACTCTGTTTTCTTTTTGTTTTTGGTTGAAAGCCCCATTTGCCAATTGACTTGATCTTTAGGATTGATGAAGAGAAGGACGTAATTCAATGAAAGAAGCAAATGATATTGCAACCAGAACCATTACAAAGACTAGGACAAGAGGAAAAATATACTATGATCAGAGGCAGAGCTCAGTGCTTTCTCCAGATGACCGTGTCCTTGTGAATATGTCAGAGCGTAGAGGACCAGGCAAATTACACTCATATTGGGAAGATCAGATACATGTGGTGAAATCTCCTTTCTTCCCCATTCTGATGCACAACTTCAGCAAGTTGTCTTGACATCTTTGTGCCTAAATGCATTAAGTTGCAGCCATGTGATTGGCTGACCAGCTATTTGTGTCGATAAACAATTGAACAGGTGTACCTGATAGTATGAGCAGTAGTGGAGGAGGAGACGGCACACAGGAGGATCTGGAAATGATCATATGTCTTTGTAAGCTAAGATTATGAACTTTAAACTGCGACTGCAGAAAAGATGCATAAATGCATCAAAAGCAATGTTGCTGCCCGTCATCGTGGCGTTATTTAAACATAGTGACATTTAAAGGGATCCCCCAAACATAATATTCGATATGTATATTTCAGGCTGAAGTAGCTTTGAAATATTGACTCGTTTAAAGTGGAAAAAAATATTAATGTATGATATTTATACAGCAGATTTTGTGAAGAAGCCATTTTTTGTAGGGACAAATGTGAGTTTCTTAAAATGTGACACTACAAAAAAAAACAATGCATCAAAATCGATGTTGCTGCCTGCTCCCATCATCCCTGCTCCCCCTGCTCCCCTCATCCCCTCAATATGTCAGAAAGCCACATTAGAAGAAGTGGCAGTTATTAGACGTAGCCCTGGTCGGATTAAGAGTGTGTGTGTTCCCGGTGCTGCTTGACGGACAGTTTGTGTATGTTTTGCCAGTCCTGCCGGTGAAGAAATAAAAATGAAGGTTTTCCTACACCACTAATGCCGCTGTTGTCTGATGTGATGTAACACATGTGCACTCAACTTCTACTGGTTGATCAGGGTGAGCCTTGTTCTTTGTGGAACCCGTTCTGTTGAACCGCTGTATGGTCTTGGCCACCGTGCTGCAGCTCAGTTTCAGGATCTTGGCAATCTTCTTGAACAGTCAAACATTCCAGTATTTTATTTTCCATTTAACTCTTAACCCTGATTGTACACTGCACTGTAACTTTTAATGTGTATTTTTTGAAATTTCCCTATGCTGCTTTTAAACTTTTTTTTATATTTCCCTGTGGCTTTTATGTTTTATGTAAAGCACTTTGAATGACCTTGTTGTTGAAATGTGCTATACAAATAAACTTGCCTTGCCTTATAGCCTAGGCTATCTTTATGTAGAGCAGCAATTTCTTTTTTTCAGATCCTCAGAGTCCTTTACCATGAGGTGCCATGTTGAACTACCACTGGTTCACACGTAGTTTGCTAAGCTCAGCACTGGCAACTTGTCTTCCAGCTCTGGTTCAGACTTAATGGTATAGATTTAGTTTTGTTATTCAATCAAACAGACAAACACTAAAAAGACTAAATGAATAAATGCTGAAATAAAAGTAATCCATGGATTTTTATTGTAATTAAACAAGCCAGATTCTCAAAATCGAGGCATGGCAGCCAGACAGTATTTAAAACTTATTGTAGAGAGATTGCTGAGATTCAGCCCTTAGTGGATGCACTAAAGCAGCATGTCATCATCTTCCAGCCAGCACAGAAGAAGGCACGCACTCCCTTCTTTTTCACAAGCACATTGTACATGTGCAGTACATGCAAATTTGGAATGCATTGATTATGGAGGATGGATTAATGCATATAGAGGGGAAGGATGATGGTGGAAGAAGGATGTCCTCTCTTTAGGCTGGTCTGGGAGGGTGTACAGAAGACCGGGTGGAGGAGACTCCGTTTTGGGGTTCTGTCTTGGAAGTGTTTTTCACCTGAGTTTATTTCAAGCCCCCCCAGACGGTCCCTAGATGAGACATGAGAGAGCTGTGCTCCTGATTGGGAAGGAAGGGATAAGTGGAGGAGGGGAGCGGGGATGAAGGGATGAGGGGAGCAGGGATGGAAGGATGAGGGGATGAAGGGATGAGGGGAGCAGGGATAATAATAATAATAATGATAATAATAACAATAACTTGTATTTATATAGCGCCTTTCACGAGACCCCAAGGACGCTTTACATATAATTGCAGAGACAGAGCAATAAAAGGTCATTCAGGGTTGAATTTGTGAAGAGCTGGATTTTTAGGGGTTTTTTGAAGGTGTCCAGAGAGGGAGCATTTCGGATCTCTGTGGGGATGGACTTCCAGAGGGTGGGGGCTGCGACACTGAAGCCTCTATCCCGAAAAGTCCGCAGTCTGGTGTGGGGGACAGAGAGCAGGCCCTTGTCGGGGGACCGCAGGTTCCGTGAGGGGGAGTAGGAGTGGAGAAGGCCCAGTAGGTACTGGGGGGCAGTGGCATGGAGAGATTTATAGGTGAGGAGTAGGATTTTGTAGGTGATGCGGAATTTGACCGGCAGCCAGTGAAGCTGAGTGAGGATTGGGGTGATGTGCTGCCACGACCTAGTGTGTGTGTGTGGGTGAGAACCCTGGCAGCCGAGTTCTGGACATATTGTAGCCTGTCCAGGACCTTGCTGGGTACCCCATACAGGACACCGTTACAGTAGTCCAGGCGGGAGGTGATGAAAGCATGGATGAGAGACTCTGCCACAGAGTCTGAGAGTGATGATCAAAGTCTGGAGATGTTTTTGAGGTGGTAGAAAGCAGATTTGGTAATAATTTTGACATGTGACTGGAAGGAAAGGGTGGAGTCCAAGATGACACCAAGGTTGCGGACTTCTTGGGATGGAGAGATGGAGCAACCATCCACTTTGAGGAGTAGATCACCTACCCTCAGGAGCAGCGTCTTGGGAGCCACTACCATTAGCTCCGTTTTGCTGCTCTTCAGCTTGAGTAGATTGGATGACATCCAGGTTTTTATTTCAAACAGTTAACAAGTGACAGAGGGGGAAGCTGAGTGGATGGTTTGGTGCTGATATACAGCTGTGTCATCAGCATAACAGTGGAAACTGAGACCATGAAGGGAAGGTTGGAGATCGGACGGTAGTTGTTGAGGTCATCCGTGTCCAAACTGGGCTTTTTGAGAATAGGAGTAACGGCAGCTGTTTGAAGCAGGAGGGTACCGAGCCAGATACCAGAGAAGTGTTTATGATTCCCACTGTGATGGGACAGAGGTTAGAGAGGCATGCCTTGACCATGATAGTAGGCATGGGGTCCACTGAACAAGTGGAGATCTTGGCTCTGGTAACCAACTTGACGAACTTGAGCTGCATCCAGAAGGGTGAAGGGATGAGGGGAGTAGGATAGTGATTTTTTGAGGGCGGTCTCAGTGCTGTGATGTGCTCTGAAGCCAGACTGAAGGTTTCATAGGGATCATAGTGGGACATGTGTTGATGAAGTTGGGCGGCAACTGCTCTTTCCACAATTTTGCTCATGAAGGGAAGGTTGGAGATCGGACGGTAGTTGTTGAGGTCATCCGGGTCCAAACTGGGCTTTTTGAGAATAGGAGTAACGGCAGCTGTTTTGAAGCAGGAGGGTACCGAGCCAGATACCAGAGAAGTGTTTATGATGTCCACTGTGATGGGACAGAGGTTAGAGAGGCATGCCTTGACCATGATAGTAGGCATGGGGTCCACTGAACAAGTGGGGATATTGGCTCTGGTAACCAACTTGATGAACTTGAGCTGCATCCAGAAGGGTGAAGGAGGTGAAGGGATGAGGGGAGCAGGGGGAGCAGGGATGAGGGAAGCAGGGATGAGGGAAGCAGGGATGAGGGGAGCAGGGATGATGGAAGCAGGGATGAGGGAAGCAGGGATGAGGGAAGCAGGGATGATGGAAGCAGGGATGAGGGGAGCAGGGATGATGGAAGCAGGGATGAGGGGAGCAGGGAGAGCAGGGGAGAGCAGGGATGAGGGGATGAGGGGAACAGGGTGAAGGGAGCAAGGTGCATGCACAATGCTTTAGTCCATTGTGGATACACTAAAGCAGCATGTCATCATCTTCCACACACCACGGAAGAAGGCACGCACTCCCTTCTTTCTCTTCAAACAGTTGACTGACGATGATACCTCAGTCAAATGATATTGCATAATGGCCAACTCTTCATCCCCAGGGACTCCTTGGGAGGTTTCCTTCTTCTCCAGTAGTTGGTCATCCAGTCTCTCTGAACTCCAGAGGCCAGCGTGACTGTGGGTGGATGTATCTGTTCGCACTCCGTGGTCCATGTTCTGGATGGCAGTGTCCTGAACCAGGGTTTCTTCTGTGTGCGATTCCTTCACATCTTCCTGCTGCAGTTCTTCCGGCTCATCAGCCATGAACACAGCCACACTGGTACCCGATTTGACCAAGACTGTGTCCTCGGTCACATCGTTTGGAGCAGTGGCCATATTTTCATGCACTTGTGGAGAAACCTCTCTCTTCTCAAGAAGTGCCCCTTCCTGCTCCTCTGAGGCGAAGAGCCGAAGGTACTTTTCTTTGACCATTTCCTGGATAGCAAAGATGGCACCGTATCCGGCAGAGAAATCACTCTCATCATAGTCCATCTGGTGGAAGGACTTGGAGCGCTGGTCGAACCTCTCAAAGATGGCTTTCACAATGGATCGGGCAGCTCTAGTGCAGACGCTAAGCACAACAGTTCTTGACACAGATCCAAACTGAGAAAGGCAAGGAGCTGCTGAGTTAGTCAGAAGTTTGCCAATCTCAGCACTGGCAAGTTTACATTTGTCTTTTAGCTCTGGTTCCTCCAGGAGGAACTTGAGAGCAATGTCCACCACCTCTGGCACCAGGGACGCAGCACTCTGTTCAAGCTCCAAGAGCTCTGCTGGTTTTGTGTCCCCTTCAGAGAGTGGACCGCTGTTGATCTGAATGCCTCCGAAAATTCTTAGCAGTTTGGCGTGCATAGATGGAAGGAAGGTTTTTACATCCTCCTCTGCTGCTGGGTGGACGACTGAGACAAACATCTCAAGGCCCTCCAGTGTGACCTCCCTGCTCAACAGCTGTGAAAGCTGCTTTTCTTTGTTCAGTTCCTCCAGGAGCTCTTCTTCCATCTGAGCGAGACAGAAGTGCCTCGCTGTGGTCCAGGCCTGTCAACAACACACTTTTTAGTCACACCAGGAGCATAATGGAGCTGACAGTAGACTATTTTTACATGAAACTAAACAGTTAACATTAAAATATTGCTCTCAAGTCTCTAGATCCTCTATATTTTACGTACCAATTCAGCCATGAACAGGTCCCTTTCCCCAGTACTCTCATTTGTTTCCAGAAACCTGCAAAAATAAAAAACACTGTATTTTAAAATGCTCTAATTTAACGTGTTTCTGCCAGTGTAACAGTTAAACCAATGATCAGTTTGACTCACTCCTCCAGGAAGCTTCTTCCTCTCAACAGCCAGGTCTTCATGTCTCTGACAGATAAATAACGTGGAACTTGCCCCCGCTGCTTCAAGAGCATAAACTGCCTCAGCATCATTTTCTGCAACACAGATTCGGTACAGTACAGTTTAACAGCTCACAGAAACACCATATTATGCAATGTAACATAAATAATGAACAGTGCACTTTTACATGTACAGGAACTTACCTCTGCTTTGTAGCAACATTGCTCTTCTACAGAGAAGCAGGATGGTCTCATCTTTTGGACTTGTTGAAAAATGATGTGGGCTTCCATGTTTGAGTTTTGAACAGGTTTGAATAAACAATTTTGCTGAACGCAGTGAACAAGTGAACAACTGTCTTTTCAGAGGGACTGGATAGCTGAGCTTTCAGACACCAAGTGATGGAGAATCTACAAAAGCACCTCAAATTCACAGTGTACGGAATGTAGAACTAGGTGACATCAACACGATAATAATGGTGAAGGTTCCTTCACAGAACACAACAAAGCAAAGCATGGAACTAATATGCAAATTAGGGAATCAGCAACCAAAATGAGTGTCCTATTAGCTTTCACTAAGCCCCTTGTATTTTCATCACAAATGCATCTCTGACAGGAATTTAAGAGTCTTAAATACCACAAACTGTCAAGTGGCTGCTGATTACAGACAAATGGTTATATTATTTACCATTTAGAAATCATTGTCGGAATATGTTTAAGCTTGAGTTAAAAGGATTTGGCCGGGAATACTCTTTATCTATCTTATTGTCGATAAATCACATTAAAAGACCAAAAACCAACAATGAATTGATCCTACTAACAAGTGTATAACTTTTTTGCCATTGAAAAATTTTAAAAACATCAATTAGACACAACTGCATGTTAAATACCCACTGTTCAAATTACTATTCCTGAGCACTTTCTGTGATTGGCTTTACTTTTTTATTGTTAAAGGTCCTATTGACTTTAATGTATGTGTGAAAATTACAATAACGATTACGAAATCAATTTTGAAACTAAAAGTCAGTATTGGAAGAGTGGTAAGGGGTGGTGATGGAGCAGTGGATAAGACGCATGCCTTTGGTGTGAGAGACACAGGTTCAACTCCCCGCTGTGACACGTCCACCAATATTTCCCTGAGCAAGATGCTTAAGTCCTAGTTGCTCCAGAGGCTTGCAACCTTTGACATAAATTGCAATTCAAAATTTCTTTGGATAAAAGCGTCAGCTTATGAATGAATGTAACAATTTGGTCACACCTGATGAAGGTAACAAAATACAAAACTAACCCTAAAACATTTTAATTGCACTGAGTAAGGAATATTCAATGTCTTATGGTCTATGTATGAATAAATATGTTTTGTTTGCCAAAAAGTACTTCTCAGTCACAGAAATGTGCAGCCCCAGACAGAGCTGCACTGGGACAAAAAAAAATTGGCCCTGGCATTTTTGGCCCAGGCGGCCCACCAAAATCGGTCAGACACCCCTCACCAATACACCATCCTTCCATTTAAGGGCTTAGATTAAGTGTGTGACGAAACAAGACGTTGCACAAGATTGGGGCAGGATTGGTGGCAGGTGACAATTCAGAACATAAAAATATAATATAATGCAGTAATCAGTAGCTTATTATTGTTTTTACCTTAAGTTACTTTTTTTGGACAACACAGTTTTCTTCTATATTTAAATTGCATTGCAAGCTTATTGTGCAAATAAACCTTTTTCATAGCATTTTTATTTGTTAATTAACATTTCTTGGTTCAAGCTATTTTTCAGGAATATTTTTAACAAATGCTTTCTAAAAGTGGTGGGTAGCCTACATGTCCCCAGTGTAAATGACCCTCCCTCCCTACAGGCTGAGCTACTCCATGTTTACCGCTTCACCTCCACTCTCTTCCTGCTCTCTCTCTCCCTCGGCCCTGTCACTTTGTCACTCACTAACGCGGTTATTTTCGCGCATTTGGCGGCAGCCGTAGCGCAAGAAACAGTGAGCAGAGGGGGTGGGGGCTAGTAAGAGATGTGATTGGACCGGCCCAGTGTCAGTATAGAAAATCGTAGGCTCATTTTTAAAAACAGTTATATAAATACATAATTTACGTCACACTGGCCCCAAAGGTGCGTCCAGCCCTGGCCCCAGACCATGACCCTCCCACCACCATGCTTGACTGTAGGCAAGACACACTTGTCTTTGTACTCCTCACCTGGTTGCCGCCACACATGCTTGAAACCATCTGAACCAAATAAATTTACCTTGGTCTCATCAGACCACAGCACATGGTTCCAGTAATCCATGTCCTTAGTCTGCTTGTCTTCAGCAAACTGTTTGCGGGCTTTCTTGTGCATCATCTTTAGAAGAGGCTTACTGCTTAGTGATTGACAACTTCATTAAATTTGCCCAAGCCTACCCAACCCGTAACAAATCAGATAAAATTTTGAATGACTTTGAAATTTCAAACTTTCAAATTTGGCTTCCCTGCTAAAATACATCACGATCAAGGAAAATAATTTGAGAACCAGTAATTCAGACAGTTGCAAAAGTACACTGGTGTGGCCAACTCCAAAACACAAGGGAACCCAGCCAAAGATTTAATCGCACCTTGTTATCGATGCTGCGGACCTTGGATGAGGAGTAAAAGGGAAATTGGAGTGACTATGTGAATAAAGTGTACATGCTTACAACTGCACCACCAGCAAGGCAACAGAATACTCTGTTTTCTTTTTGTTTTTGGTTGAAAGCCCCATTTGCCAATTGACTTGATCTTTAGGATTGATGAAGAGAAGGACGTAATTCAATGAAAGAAGCAAATGATATTGCAACCAGAACCATTACAAAGACTAGGACAAGAGGAAAAATATACTATGATCAGAGGCAGAGCTCAGTGCTTTCTCCAGATGACCGTGTCCTTGTGAATATGTCAGAGCGTAGAGGACCAGGCAAATTACACTCATATTGGGAAGATCAGATACATGTGGTGAAATCTCCTTTCTTCCCCATTCTGATGCACAACTTCAGCAAGTTGTCTTGACATCTTTGTGCCTAAATGCATTAAGTTGCAGCCATGTGATTGGCTGACCAGCTATTTGTGTCGATAAACAATTGAACAGGTGTACCTGATAGTATGAGCAGTAGTGGAGGAGGAGACGGCACACAGGAGGATCTGGAAATGATCATATGTCTTTGTAAGCTAAGATTATGAACTTTAAACTGCGACTGCAGAAAAGATGCATAAATGCATCAAAAGCAATGTTGCTGCCCGTCATCGTGGCGTTATTTAAACATAGTGACATTTAAAGGGATCCCCCAAACATAATATTCGATATGTATATTTCAGGCTGAAGTAGCTTTGAAATATTGACTCGTTTAAAGTGGAAAAAAATATTAATGTATGATATTTATACAGCAGATTTTGTGAAGAAGCCATTTTTTGTAGGGACAAATGTGAGTTTCTTAAAATGTGACACTACAAAAAAAAACAATGCATCAAAATCGATGTTGCTGCCTGCTCCCATCATCCCTGCTCCCCCTGCTCCCCTCATCCCCTCAATATGTCAGAAAGCCACATTAGAAGAAGTGGCAGTTATTAGACGTAGCCCTGGTCGGATTAAGAGTGTGTGTGTTCCCGGTGCTGCTTGACGGACAGTTTGTGTATGTTTTGCCAGTCCTGCCGGTGAAGAAATAAAAATGAAGGTTTTCCTACACCACTAATGCCGCTGTTGTCTGATGTGATGTAACACATGTGCACTCAACTTCTACTGGTTGATCAGGGTGAGCCTTGTTCTTTGTGGAACCCGTTCTGTTGAACCGCTGTGTGGTCTTGGCCACCGTGCTGCAGCTCAGTTTCAGGATCTTGGCAATCTTCTTGAACAGTCAAACATTCCAGTATTTTATTTTCCATTTAACTCTTAACCCTGATTGTACACTGCACTGTAACTTTTAATGTGTATTTTTTGAAATTTCCCTATGCTGCTTTTAAACTTTTTTTTATATTTCCCTGTGGCTTTTATGTTTTATGTAAAGCACTTTGAATGACCTTGTTGTTGAAATGTGCTATACAAATAAACTTGCCTTGCCTTATAGCCTAGGCTATCTTTATGTAGAGCAGCAATTTCTTTTTTTCAGATCCTCAGAGTCCTTTACCATGAGGTGCCATGTTGAACTACCACTGGTTCACACGTAGTTTGCTAAGCTCAGCACTGGCAACTTATCTTCCAGCTCTGGTTCAGACTTAATGGTATAGATTTAGTTTTGTTATTCAATCAAACAGACAAACACTAAAAAGACTAAATGAATAAATGCTGAAATAAAAGTAATCCATGGATTTTTATTGTAATTAAACAAGCCAGATTCTCAAAATCGAGGCATGGCAGCCAGACAGTATTTAAAACTTATTGTAGAGAGATTGCTGAGATTCAGCCCTTAGTGGATGCACTAAAGCAGCATGTCATCATCTTCCAGCCAGCACAGAAGAAGGCACGCACTCCCTTCTTTTTCACAAGCACATTGTACATGTGCAGTACATGCAAATTTGGAATGCATTGATTATGGAGGATGGATTAATGCATATAGAGGGGAAGGATGATGGTGGAAGAAGGATGTCCTCTCTTTAGGCTGGTCTGGGAGGGTGTACAGAAGACCGGGTGGAGGAGACTCCGTTTTGGGGTTCTGTCTTGGAAGTGTTTTTCACCTGAGTTTATTTCAAGCCCCCCCAGACGGTCCCTAGATGAGACATGAGAGAGCTGTGCTCCTGATTGGGAAGGAAGGGATAAGTGGAGGAGGGGAGCGGGGATGAAGGGATGAGGGGAGCAGGGATGGAAGGATGAGGGGATGAAGGGATGAGGGGATCAGGGATAATAATAATAATAATGATAACAATAACTTGTATTTATATAGCGCCTTTCACGAGACCCCAAGGACGCTTTACATATAATTGCAGAGACAGAGCAATAAAAGGTCATTCAGGGTTGAATTTGTGAAGAGCTGGATTTTTAGGGGTTTTTTGAAGGTGTCCAGAAAGGGAGCATTTCGTATCTCTGTGGGGATGGACTTCCAGAGGGTGGGGGCTGCGACACGAAGCCTCTATCCCGAAAAGTCCGCAGTCTGGTGTGGGGGACAGAGAGCAGGCCCTTGTCGGGGGTCCGCAGGTTCCGTGAGGGGGAGTAGGAGTGGAGAAGGCCCAGTAGGTACTGGGGGGCAGTGGCATGGAGAGATTTATAGGTGAGGAGTAGGATTTTGTAGGTGATGCGGAATTTGACCGGCAGCCAGTGAAGCTGAGTGAGGATTGGGGTGATGTGCTGCCACGACCTAGTGTGTGTGTGGGTGAGAACCCTGGCAGCCGAGTTCTGGACATATTGTAGCCTGTCCAGGACCTTGCTGGGTACCCCATACAGGACACCGTTACAGTAGTCCAGGCGGGAGGTGATGAAAGCATGGATGAGAGACTCTGCCACAGAGTCTGAGAGTGATGATCAAAGTCTGGAGATGTTTTTGAGGTGGTAGAAAGCAGATTTGGTAATAATTTTGACATGTGACTGGAAGGAAAGGGTGGAGTCCAAGATGACACCAAGGTTGCGGACTTCTTGGGATGGAGAGATGGAGCAACCATCCACTTTGAGGAGTAGATCACCTACCCTCAGGAGCAGCGTCTTGGGAGCCACTACCATTAGCTCCGTTTTGCTGCTCTTCAGCTTGAGTAGATTGGATGACATCCAGGTTTTTATTTCAAACAGTTAACAAGTGACAGAGGGGGAAGCTGAGTGGATGGTTTGGTGCTGATATACAGCTGTGTCATCAGCATAACAGTGGAAACTGAGACCATGAAGGGAAGGTTGGAGATCGGACGGTAGTTGTTGAGGTCATCCGTGTCCAAACTGGGCTTTTTGAGAATAGGAGTAACGGCAGCTGTTTTGAAGCAGGAGGGTACCGAGCCAGATACCAGAGAAGTGTTTATGATTCCCACTGTGATGGGACAGAGGTT